TCACTAAAGGCTACATATACACCCCCGCTTTCTCGTTGAATTCATCAGCCACTAGTGAGAAAAAGTACTAACAACAATACACTTATCGAGCCCTTTTTCTTTTTTTTTCTTTGTTATTCTCAAACCTACCAACAGTTCTAATACATCACTTCAACTCTCCTTGTTTGTTCGTATAAATATAACAACAATAACATCCTAATATTCCACGCGCCTTTTTATAGCGTCTGTTTGTTAACATTCGATCCACCAACAAATTATTTCTCTTCACCACTAATACTGTTCAATCGTTCTTTCCCCCACTCACTGTTGGTTCATTCTCGTTGTGTTGTTGATCGTGTGATATCAACAACAAATATCACTCTCGCATTCCAGCCGCCTTGTTTAGTGTGAGCCGACTAACAAACAAACGTACCAACAAGTTCTTACTCTCCCCACACATCTCTGTTGGTTCGTTGTCGTTGGTCTGTTCGTAGTGCGTTAGCCGCTCACTCAACACTGCTTGTGTTTTATTCTCTTTTGTGCGGTATTCGTTGTTCACCACTGCACAGTGGGTCCGTATAAAAAATAGTGGATTTTTATAAATAATTTTTTAAAAAATAATTTATAAAAAATTGTTGTTATATTTGTTGGTCTATTGTAGATTTTGGATATTTTAACAAAAAGTACCCTACAATCCGCATTTAATAAGAACATTTAAAGTATTATTTTGCGAGTTAATAAAAAACAGTTTTTGGAATTTTTTATTGAAATTGTTGTAATTTTTTGCGAAAAAAATAGTTATTTGATCTTACCCTAAAACTTTTTTGACTGTAAATTTATTGCATAATTCGAAATTTCGTGCACCCTACTGTCGGTAATTGCGATTTTCAAATTATTTTCGCCTATTGTTGTTCCCTTTTTGGAAATATCTTAAAATTTGTTGTTTTTTGTTGATCCTATCGACTCTATTTGCTCTTTTTCATCGATCCTTTTGCAAGTTCGACTGTGTGTACCCTATATTCGGTTCTAGTCGACCTCAAATAGTAAGAATATAGATTTTTTGAACTTTTTTGCTTCGCTATCGTTTGTTTTTCTACAGAATCATGTCGGTCACTCCATTGACACAATTTATTCGTGCTTCAGATAATGTGGTTAAATTTATTGCCTCGTACCACATGCTTAAGCCGGAAAGTCACACCATTTTCAACCTTGAAATTCAAAGCTCGGAACTTCAAGAATTGTGGTCTAAAGTCAAGGACACTTATGATAAGTGTATTGACTATTTGATGACTTTAGAGGGTATAACTTCCGATCAAATTTCGTCCGCCGATTCCAAATTTCAATCCTCTAGGCAAAGTTTCACTGAGTGTTTGTCGGAGATCAACGAAAGGATTCATAATTTTAAGTCGGTGAAATCTCCTCCTGCAACTCCTGTCGTTGTTAATGTTAGCACACCGCAAACTACTTTAGCTCCAAATCCTCAACAAATTGGTAGTGCATCTAATCGGCCTCCTATCGAAATTAATGAAATTAATAGTTCGCGAAATAGTTTGAATATGAATATCCCAAATTCCTCAAATATTGTTCAACCTGAATTTCCAAATCCTGCAGACGTCTCCATTTCTAATTGGAGTTTACCACCTAATGTTTCGAATACAATGCATAATCTCAACTTACCACCGTGTGAGATTGATGATTTCCATGGAGACTTTCTATCGTGGCCCACATTCCGGGACTTGTTCTCTGCCATGTTCATTAATAATTCTCGCCTAAGTGACATTGAGAGGCTTTGTCACTTAGTTCAGAAAACAAAAGGTGAAGCTAGGGAAATCGTGTCTAAGTTTCCACTCACCCATAAAAGTTTCGCTATGGCTTGGCAGTCGTTGAAGGATACGTACGACAATAATCGTATTCTAGTGCATAACCATCTCAAGCTCCTTTTTGACCTTCCCGTGTTAGATTCTGAATCTAGTTCTAATTTAAAAATTCTGCAGCGTGGTATCAACGGCTGCATTTCTGCTATGTCAGTGTATGATGTAGCTACGGATCACTGGGATCCTATTTTAGTATATATTTGTCAACAGCGTTTACCTAAACTAACTGTAGCTTTGTGGGAACAGAGTATTAAAGATAAATCTTCGCTATCGTCGTGGGAAGACTTGAACAAATTCCTTACTGAAAGAATTCAAACATTAGCTTGCTTGCGAGACATGCGAAGTTCCCCTTCTAGTCCGATTTCGAAAAATAAAGTCAAAGCCCATATGGTTACCTCTGTGGTTAAAAATAAGTCGAAATCATGCATTCTTTGTAGAAATGAATTTCATTCATTACGCTCATGTCCAAAATTTAGAACTCTTTCGTTTGAAAAAAGATTTGAAGTGGCTAAGAAACAAGATTGTTGTTTAAATTGCCTCTCTGTAGGACATTCCGTCAAAAATTGTGCCAGAATCCATAATTGTAATATTTGCAAAATTCGCCATCATACTTTGTTGCACAGACCTACTGCTTCTCCTCAATCACCTAGGATTGGTTCTCCTCACACCTCTAGTAATGGTTCTCCTCTATCGTCTAGGCCTTCGTATCCTATCGCGACAAATGTTGTCAATCCTCCACAAGTAGATGGCAATGTGGCATCAACTTCTACTGGCAACACTCCTCGAGTAGTAAATAGTCAGGTGTTCCATACCTCCCAAAATCGAAATGTTATGTTGGGTACTGCTATGGTCAACATCGTTCATTCCGGAGTTTCATATCCAGTTCGTGCGCTGATCGACCCTGGATCAGAGACTTCGTTCATATCTGAACATTTGCAAAATCGTCTTAAATTGCCCACTCAGGCAATCTCTGCAACCGTTTCTGGAGTAAATAGATCAACTTATGCCACTTCCAAGAAAAATTGTTCAATTCGCATCGGTTCACGCTTAGATTCTTCTTTATTTGTTGATGCAAATGCTTTCGTTCTTCCAAAAATATCTGGAAATCTTCCTTCAGTGCCCCTTAGTTCTAATCTCACTTCTTGCTTGCCTAATCTTCTTTTAGCCGATGCTCATCTTTTCAATTGTAGACCTGTAGATTTGTTGTTAGGGGCATATTTGTATCCACAGATCTTGAAGGAAGGGACGCAACGAAATGTTTTGGGTTCCCTTTTAGCCCAAAACACGATATTCGGCTGGATTCTGACTGGTCCTATGCCTTCGTCCTCAGTCCAGGTCTTTAGTACTGCGTTGGATTTTGCTGAGGATGAATCTCGCCACAGAACACTACTCCGACTTTGGGGACTTCCATATGTTCCCAAATTGAAGCATCCTTCGCCGTCGGACATGTTCTGTGAGAGGAATTATCGTCGTTGCGTCCGATCAAAATTTATCTAATTTTCGTAATTCTCGCTGGCCTATATTTTCGTTGCTAGATCAGCCTTTCTTTGCTTTCAAACAGTGCACTCCTCCCCAAAGCTTTCAGTATCTAACGCTGTCATACATTGTACGTCAATCAACTTGCCGTTTTCATGCCAACTTGTTTGTATTCTTGCAGAATTCGTTCACGCGATTTCCATTCATGGTGGAAATCAGCCTCGTAGCCTTCTTATCGATATTTGGTTCTCTAAAATTATGGGTTTTGTTATCAATCGTTTAATCTTCTTGAGATTTCTTGATTGCTCTTTTTCGAAAAAAAATATTTACTCGAACCCTTCGATATGAAGTTGTATACGAATTTAGCGTGTCGTATCGTCAAAGGTTTGTGTATGTCTTCGTCTGCTTTTCAGTCAAAGCAGTTTCTTAGAAGTCATTTCTCCCTTGTGCTCTGCTTCATTTTGGCTGCTCTTTATCGTTTTTGATTGTCGTATTTACCATAGGACAGAATTTGTTTAATTCGTACTGAGGCCTGCTTAACTTCTAGATCCCTTTCGATACGGTTCAACTTACATCTATCTAGTCGCTCTTCCTCGTTCGCCACCTTAACCATTAATAGTCGATTTCCCTCTAAGTCTTATCAATAGTCTTCTCTAGTTAGAATTTGTTATATTTACTTCAATTCCACAATAGAAAAAAAAATCGAAATATACTTAGTCAATATGCAATTTCAATAACTCGTTGTGCTCTGTCGTGAGCAATCACTTAGGTCCAACAAGAATTGTTCGTCGACCAGAGACTAAATTAGTTGTAAATAGTAAAGAATAACTTCATCGTGTATTCTTTTTGTCAAAATAGTCGAAAAATAGATAATCTCAAATTGAATTATATCCGCTCCTGCTCAATAAAACTGAACTACTATACCTATCGATGCATTTAATTCACAATGCAATTACTAACCATAGTTTAAGTCGCGTACTAATTTAATATCGGTTGCCACGCAGCTAGCGCGGCAAGGTGGGCGGCAATGTTTAAGTTCGATACATTGCTTACGGCAATGTATATGTTCGATACATTGTTTCCCCTTCTACAGCATTACAATTAACCACTTTAATTGGCCGCTCTTCGGAGCCCAATGGGGAAATCTTCTCTGCATATCTTCCAGGAGCCTCATTCGCCTAGTTCGGATTGTAGGGGAGAGTTCGCTCTCTTCTACTATATCTCCTGGAAGCCACATTCGCTTAGTTCGGATGCAGAGAGGCGCTTTCCAATGCTGTGGTCGTAGTTGTTGATCACGGCCTTGCTGTAGCTTTCTTGCCCATCGCAACATCACTTGCTTTCGAACTCTCGTTGATTAAACTTACATTCTCGCTTTCATTGCTAAAACATCTCTCGTTATCGTAGTTAACGCACGCTAAGGTAAAGTCTTGTTTCTCACGAAACCCACCTACTTTACAATAAAGATTGAAAATATTTACTTAAACATTCTATCGTTTTTCTTTTCTTTATTTTTGGGGTTTCACTGCATCTCGGTATCACGCCAACAGTATGTCTTTGTCAAGAGTTTGAATGGGTATGTTTCCTGTGCACAAATGTTCAGTTTAATTTCATCAGTCGTCGCTTAAACATCGATCGGTCATCGAAAATACAACAAAAATGTATCTCCTAAAAATGAACAGAACATTTCATGAACGCTATAGGCAGTTGAATCAGTCAGGATCTTTAAAGAATTCTTCATCCCTGCTACAATTGAAAGAGGATCTTAAGAGGTTTATAACTACGATAAAGGACAGCGACAAGGAACTTCAATATCAAATGCTTTTGACACCTATTTGCTATGACATTGCTCGTCTCAGTGAAGATGCTACCATTGCCGAAACACACTGGAAGGAATGCATTGAAATAATAAAAACTGCAAATTTTGTAACGGAAGCTATTTTGCTATATATTGGAGCATATCTTAATTTAGGCATTCTGTACAATAAACAATCGGAAAATAAAAAAACTCTGAAATTTCTCGCGGAAGCGGAGACGATTTACAAGAAGTATAAGAGAGAGGCTTGTGATACTAAAAATTTCCGCCAAGTGGACAACCTCTACAAGAACATTACAATGATCTTAGGTCAAGTATATCAAAACTTGGACATATATCCGATGTCCGCCAAATATAACTACATATCTATGAAGCTGGCATTTGAAAGTAAATCGTACAAACATCATGAATTAGCCTGGCAATCAGCCAATCTTTCCGTTTTCTATGTTAAAAGTAATAACTTCAAACAAGCTCGACGATATTTGGCAGCAGCAAATTACTTCGCAAATGAATTTAAATTGGTGGCCTTACCGATTCATCATCAAGATGTCGAAATGATATTTGCCTATTTAAATCGTTACTGGGCAAAATACGGTATTGCTCTATTGTTGGAGTCAAGGAAACGTTTGGACGGGATAGTGGATATGTTAACAACAGGTAAGTAAATACTCGTAAACCTAATTCAAGTGAAAACTGAATTTATTTTTTAAAGAGTAGGAGGAAACCGCTTCATAAATGCGCCTTATTTTAAAAATTTTAGGAATTTGGAAATGTGAATTCCCTCTTCCGCATTAACATTTTTTAATTCCAAAAAAAATCTATTGATTGATAACGAGATTTCCTACTCTCTAAACAAATAAATTCACATTTGCATATGTAATTTAATTTTTCGTAATGCATTTTCATTGGGATATTTGTGATAATAAGTCAAATAAAAGACACTACTAAAGACAAATACTAAAAAGACAAATAAAAGATCGAAAGACAAAATTATAATCCATACAAGTTTTAAAAATGTGATAGTCAAAATAGACAAAAAAAAAATCAACTATTGCTAATTTTGTAATGTCCCATCGTTAATCTTTCAACTTCATATTTTCAAAAAATGTTTTGTTTAAATTCTCTTCTGTACATCACATTATCGTAGCTTACACTTATTTTTCTTTTTATTTCCAGACGTCAACAGCATAAAATTGAACGACACCGATATGCCTTTCTTATATGATCGTTTACCATTAGCTCTATATGAAAGTGAAATAACCGCTGATTACGTGACAACATATAAGGATGCCAATAAAATTTTCTTATTCTCTAAAAGATGTCTTGAAAAAGCCAAGAAATATTGCACACCCAATGATGAAATAGAAATATATGTCGATGTAATGAAGGATTTAACCAATATTTATGACCAAATAACCTATTTTAAAAAAGACGGTAAACATGAATTCGAAATGCAAAATGTGCGTATCAAAATCTACAAAGAACTACTTGACAATCTAAATACGCAAACACATTTATCAATATGTCGCCAATGTTGGTATGACATGGCTATGTGTTATAGTATTCAGATTATTCTCAAGTCCCGTTTGCATGGCAATGATGTCCAGCAGCTAACAGCAGATGCCATTGAGTGCTTCGAAAAGGTGATTGCCTCATCCAAAGGTGGTTCTAGTTTCTTTAAACCTAACTTGACCCTTGACGAGAAGATACTATGCATGAACGCCCATTATAAACTTGGCATATTACATGTTAGATCTCTACACCTTAACGTGCCTGGCTCGATGAAAATGATTATGTTATATTTTAACACATTTGTCGATGAGTGTACAAAGGATGAGGAATTGAGAAATATATTCAAATGTGATATTGAATCGGCTAGATTAGAGATGATGAAAGCTTTAGCTTCAGGGACATTGTTCAACTATGAATGTGAAACTAATAAAAGGAATACATAGGTGTTATGTAGAATAAATTATTTTTGCACTAATTGTTGATATATTAAAATAAAGAAATCTATTTTTATACAATAAATACCATGTATTACATAAATTCGTAACGCCTTTTTCTTATATAAAAATCATGGAAAAACTATAAAATGTTAAAATATATCCTTATTATAATCAGTCATCACCGCTTAATAGCTCTGACAATAGAATTATCAAATGTAAAATCTTTTAATACATATTTTTATTTCAATAGACATTTAGAATTTCATAAAATAATGTTACGACAAGTTGTTTTATAGCAAAAATTATTTTTATTTTTTCTTATGAAAATGTGGATGAGATCCTTTACAATTAATGCATTGTATCTTTCGATTTTACCGACACACTTTGAACAGAACCAATAGAACAGCGTACACTCAGTGCATATTGTGGTCGACGTTTGGTACATTCCTTTTGCACTCTCACTGCCAATGTCCTTATGGGAATTGCCGTTATGGCATCCAAGAAATTAGCCTTAGCATATTCTACAACTTTCTCAACCAGTCCTTCAATATTTATACAACGAGCATCAAAAAATGTCTCTTTCTCCAAATTATCGGCAATGAAACGTACTGTGTCGTCACTTTGAAACTCCTCCAAAGGTAATATTTCAATCAGTTCCTTGAACATATGCACCAAAACAAATTGTGTTTTATTCATTATGCCCGCTGTGCCGGTAGCTTGATTAAGCGCTTCCCGAGCATTGTCAAATATTCCCGATACCACATCCTCGGTATTAACATCAGATCGTTCATAATCAAAAACGGCCAATATTTCGTTAAACATTTTCTCCAAATGGTCTCGTGTCAGTACCACCAAATATTTTTTAGGAATAATTTCTTGTAGATTCTCAATTATACAATTCATAATCTCTTCAGTTATGGAACCTTCAAAATTATATGCAGCTTGGCCCAAGTACCGGGTAACTTTGTATGCATAACGGCGAATGTTTTCACGGGATGTCATTTTTCCGAAATGTTGTAGGAAAAGTTTCTGCACCACCTTTTGACAACGATCCATTATGAAATCGTCAGGGACCAAGCGTCGTGTCTGATAGTCATCGCTTTGTAATATGTCGGGACAGGTGCGTAGTTCATCAGTTGGTATCATTTCCTGATGAGCCAGCAATATGCCATGTTCATCAGATTCGCCATCTATTTGCAGAGGTTTGGCTTTCATGCGCAATGTGCATATTTCACGTTCCAAAAACTAAAATAAAAGAGTAGGAAATTTTAAGAATTGAGTGTATGGCAAATGTGCGCTCTAGGTACATGCCTTAATTTGCTCCTTTTGTTCTCGTTCGATAGCGGTGAGTTTTTCAATGTCTTTATCCACACTTAAATTTGGTGGTTTCGACCATTTCTGATAGTTTTTCTCCTGAGATAAAAGCAAACGCTCCAAATAGGTTTTTTCTTCCGTTAAAATTGCCAAAATATTTAATTTGTCACAATGCATTTGGGTCTCTTTGATAAGTTCTTCCTGAGCAAGAGCCAATTCAGTCTGAAAAATTAATGCATTGAAAGAAGAATGAACATTTTAAACAAAATATTTTAAGTGAGTTTTTTCCTCTTTCGATTCATGTTTAATGATCGAAGTTTTGCACCATTATCAAAAATCATTAAAATGATCATCGCCCTTAGAATAAAAATTAAAACAAAATATTTTAAAATAAAAAAAGGAGATATCGTGGAAATATTTTTTTGAGGTAAAAGCCTAATTTTTTACAAATATTTTATTGGGCTTTCAGATCTGTTGTCTATTTAGATTCTATCATGTGGACTTATTAAAAAAGTTTAATAGAGTTGGAAGTGTTTTGATATTTGTAATTAATTTGCTAATAATATATTGAATGGAATTCCGGGGACAAAATCCCGTCCATTTGCTTTGTATTATGGCATTCTGCACATGCATGCATGAAAGATAATATAGAAGATATGAAAATATAGAAGAAAGAAATAATAAAAGAGAAGTTACATATTTATTGAGATAAAATTTACAACGGTTGACAGAAAATTTCGATAAATCATTTAAATGATGCAACTATGGCAAGGAGTCACAATGCCGATTCCCAAAAATATCGATTAAAAATACCGCTAGGTACTTTAAATACCTAAAATGGACCTGTCTTGAGATAGGAACCTTCCAAATACCGTAAATTTACGGTCCGTAATAAGGGGGCAATTCTAAAACGATGATGTACTCCGTTGGAGAGTATACAACTGAATTCTACCATTATACGAAATTTTCAAAATGTTGAACCATTGTGGGGAAGGTACAAAAAGGAGTAGATTGATAAATTACATCTTGGGATTTATTATTATTATTTATTTTCAAAGACTTGTTACCAGGCTTACTAGCCCATTATGTATTGGTACAAACAGAGAACATAACATTTATTCTTATAGAAAAAAGTATATTTAATAATTATGGATGAGGGTATGTGTGTGTATGTGCATTAGCCTTAGTACTGAGCGTATAGTGAAATATTTATTATTTTTGTAAAACTATATGCCGATGCCGTGACTTTTGGAAGGAACATATTCTATTGTATACGGTAAATATTATTTGTTTAACTAATTAGTAATATTACATTGGGTAAAAAGAAATTCATTATGGGCTATAAAACTTTATTTATCATGCTTCGGAATGTCCGATTTGGGTCAAAAATGCACCGTTTTGTTGTATGATTTGTTGCCATTTTAAAGGTAACTTCATAATGCCTCTCTCATAGAAGTCCTGCTTTCTATTTGCAAAAAATTCCAGTAGTCGATTTTAACAAATCGTCTCTAGATACCAATTTTTTGTCATTAAAGAAATTTTGCAATGCAAGAAAAAGATGATAATCGCATGGTGCCAAGTCCGGACTGTATGGCGGACTTCCCAACCGAGTTCCCGAAGTTTCTGGCGAGTCACTGTAGATGTGTGTGGCCTAGCGTTGTCTTGGTGGAATTCTGGCCCTTTCTGGTCAATTGCAATGTTTAAAACAGTTTTATGGTAGATTTTTAGCTGCTGGGCGATGTTACGACTACTGCTTGTCAACTTCGATTGACAGGCATGTCAAAAATTCCTGAACGGAATCTACGAAACCAAAATTCCACTGGCTATTACTGTATCGGAACAATAAACACCATTCACAATTTTAGCCGCCTGGCTTGCATTTTCGCCTTTGTCAAAGAAAAGCTGTAAAATATACCGAATTTCCTCTTTGTTCACTTCAATTTTTAACACCCTGTAACTCACAACTGAATGCACCAAACAAAAAACAGCAAAATATTTTTTACTGTGAAATGCCATCCTTTAAACGAGCAAAAATCTGAAATTGTTTGAACAATAATTTACGAGAAATCTATCAGTACAGCCATCTGCCGAAAAAATGGATTTCTTTTTCCCCAAAATAATACATTTTAACATTAAACTTCAGCGAGAAATGTATGATATCAGATTACTGGAACAATATTTTTTTAACTCGAAATAATAAAAACAAGCCAATTAACAATTTTGTTGAAATCTCGAAGCAAATTAATATTTTAATTTTCAAGTGAGGGATATTATGAAAAAGAGAGTGGTATTCAATTACAATGTGATACAAATTTATAAACAAAAACCACTTCATACAAACAACCAAGGAAGGTTTGAAGTACATACATATGGAAACAAAATGATCGAACGAGCATTCAGTGCGGAGTAATGTAAACAAATAATTGAAATGCAGCGTAGTAATTCCCCCTAAAAAATATAAACAATTTTTCTTGGAAACGTTCGGACAAGGCTCTCCTAAACATGTATAGTAATAGTTCTTTATGAATAAGTATGTGAATGTTCGTCCATGTATTCTGTAATCAAATACTGCATATACGCATTGAATGCTGTACAAAAAGTGTCACATTTTTTTCACTACAAGATGACATTTATTTGTTATTGAATAAAACAATTTGGTTATGCTCTAGGAAAAATCTGTTCATATATTCACCATCCATATACCGTTTGCTTGTCAAATGTTTATATCACATCAAAAATACAATATGCATCAGCATATCTTGAAATTTTACTTCATTCCTACTTACCCTTTTCTTTTTCATTTCCAGTTCCAGCAAATTTAATTCATCTTCAGCTGTTGTCTCCAATTCAAATACATATTTTCGCAATACCTCCTCTTCGAGTTCATCCAAGTCAATAACCATTCCGAATTTTTTCATCATTTCCTGACGTATTAATTCCTCGAGGCGTGATATTTCGGTACGCATAAATTTCAAATCGGTATTCATGCGACGTAAATGGACAATATTGATGCGATGTAAACGTTTGGTTTCTAGCGTTTCAACTTTCAACTGATCTACGCGGCCCTGCAAATCCATGAGCAGCGTTGAGTCGAATAGAACAGCTTTGCTCAGATCACGATAATCTTCACCCTCACGAAAATGTTGTAACTGATGCATATGCAGAATGACCGCCACATGGACTTTATTTAATTCTTGTTGGCGTTTGCGCTACAAATGAAATACAGGTGTAATGTAATCGAAAATTATTTTGTTCTATTTTGTGTCATACCCTAAAATCCAATAATTTTTCATTTTCCTGTCTATATACATTTTCGTGATGTTTCATTTTCTTTAGGGCCTCTTTAACTTCCTCTTTTTTCAATTCGATTAGTTTCATAGCTTCGCTTAGAGATCGTTCCATTTCATGGCGATCACTTCGCATTTTGAAAGCCATTTCATACATATTTCTCTCTAAGCCAGCCGGACAATGTGATTCGTCCAATCGTATAGCAGTCATATCCGTTGAATCAATACTCTTTGTGTCATCCTCTTCTTCTTCGCTGGATGACTCACTATCCGAAGACGATTCCGATGATTCTGAAAGATAAACATTCACATATTAATCGTATTCGAATCGGCATAACTGAAGAGGTTGTTGGTCTATTTAAAATGTCTAAAAACAAGATTAACTCTGAAATAAATTCGATGCTCCCACAAGCCTTTGAAGTCGATTAATTCAATCCAATCCAGTATAGCACACTAGAATATAAACCAGGGTAGTCACGAAATAAATATAAATCGATAAAATCGTATGGACGTCAGTTCCCGAAAATGCTTGTAACTATTGTAAACGTCTCTCGGTGGTTTTCTGGTATATATGAGAGTTAAGAGTTATATTTAAACACATTTGTCACAGAGCCAGATCAGTGACCGATGGCGTAAAAAACTGCAGCTCAACTTTAAAGATACCTTAAAAATAAACATCATTGAAGAGCTCGTTGAAAGATGAGTACTAAGCCAGAATTTTTGCATATCCCAACTTGGAGAAGGCGAGTAAGGGCAAAAATGTCAACAGTATTGTTCTCTTCATTGCTTAAAAAATCTTTTTATTTCGCCAATAGCTTTAAATAATATCGCAATACCACATATTCTAAAAATTAATTAATATTTACTCTCTCTTTTACCACTCAAAATCAATAGACTCTCGTCCCCATTCATATGTTTCAGCCTCGAAATAGTTGTCGCATATGATAACTACACAACCTTCAAGCGAATCGATTCTAAAGTTTACAGATTTTTCAAAGAATAAAAGTCACTTACCATCTCCCCCTTTTACTGGTTTAGTTGGGCGCCATTTCTTTTTGAATATGCGTCGTAAAAAATCAAAGAATTTATGCCCCTTCGTTGTGCTTAGAAATTTCATCTGGGTCATTGATATCTGTTCGTTGTAACGTTCACAAGCTTTACGCAAATCATCAATTTGGCGATTCAATGCGTTAATGGATGTTTGGGCAGCATTTCGGGTCTGCATGGCTGCCTCTGCATTGCTAAGCAATTCATTTTCAATTTGTTCACTATCTCGTAAAATATAGAGTTCCTGATTGAGTCCAATCAAATAGCTTTGCATAAATTCTGCTTCAAATTTGACATTAAGTCGTAGATCTTCCAGTTCACGAAGACGGGCGTTGAATGTTCGTACTTTTTCGTGAACTTCATGTATGATGCCATCTTGTTCCACAAGTAATTCCAATAGCCAACGATAACGTATTTCAACTAACCATGGAGACAGCTGACCATCTTCGGTGGCCTTATAATATGTGTCCTCCGACTGGTGGGGCAATTGTTGTAATTTCGTTATGAGTTCTGTGCCGTTTGGGAAGCAATCAACTTCTTTAATTTGTAAAGCCAAATATTTCTCCAATTCGTGCAATGATTTGTGTGAGATTTCAACTTTAACTTTTGGATCCGGTACTTTGGGTAACAAATCCTCTACTTTATTTTCCATGTAGAGAATATCTTGAATGTCAATATTACAACCTGGTTGGCAATGTTCAATTAAATTCAATTCCGGCCATTCCTCGTCCATATTAAGAGGCGGTATGTCCATTAGAAACTTTCGATTCTTTTCCGGTATGAGCGAATGAATTTCTTCCAAACGTTTACTCTTCTCCTCAATAAGCTGGTATAAGTCCTTCTTGACATCGCGCAATTGAAAAACACGCTGATTAAAATTTTCCACAAGTTCATTTAATTTTTCACGCAGTTTTACTATTTCCTTATATTTATAGGTTAAGGTTTCATGCGGTTGTGGTTCATACTCGGAACCAGTTTTCAACTTATAATCCCCAATGTTTTGTTCAGCCTCTTGTATTTTACGATCATCATCAGGATGATTTTTATTTGGATCGGGTTTGTGTTTCCACATTTTCTCCCAATTGAAGCTACGCTCTACCTGATACAGCTGACGGGAACGATAACCTCTTAAAAGTCGCAACATTTTTCGACTAAATCGTGGCAGTATTGAATTGGGATCACGACCAAAGAAAAACGTTTCATAAGGTGGTTCTGGCATACTGTCGGCTTTATCTTCGGCCAATGTCATTTGGGCACGACTAGGAGGGGAAAGATGTAAAATGAATGAAAGAGTTTTATTAAACGTTAAGCGAAAGGATGAAGGTTGTTGAGATTTGTTTCTTACTCTTGGCTAATGTTCGATGTGGATTCCACAACAATGTTTCCTCTTTAACATGTGAATGTATGCGTGTGGGTAGTAGAATATGTTAGAATATGTATAAAGTATTTTCAATTTCTAATATGATGTAAGTATGATTTTGGAGTAATAGGCAGGGATTTACTTACATTCTTTTTAAGGCTTCCAATCTTAATCGTTCTTCAATATCAGCTTTAATTGCTTCAAAATTATCATCTAATCTCTCCAACCGAAATGAATATAAAACGTCATCGGATCTATTACAGAATATAATATAAATTACTATACTGGTTATGGAAGTTATACATATTTCGTCATTCCGTTTGTAAATCATTGGAATTTGTTTGAGATTTAAAATTCGACGAGTATTGATATTAAACACAACATTTCGACGGCATTTTTGTTATTGAAGTTCAATGTTTTTACGTGAGTGTGTTAAGTACGTGAGTGACTGACAGATCATCGCCCAGACGAAATGGCTAAAGGCAGAAGCTTGAGATTTTGAGTGTTGGTTATTGTTGGTGTGTAGGCGTGAGATAAGGCTGGGTTTTTGGAAATTCGAACTAGAATTTCCAAATGTGGTACCCTTTGTATTAGGCAAACGGGAAACGCTAGAATTCTGAAATTTGGAATGTGGGCCACTGATGGAAAGTAAGAAAGATGTATAAAATGGTTTTTGAAAATTCGTCCTAAAAGTGTACGAAAAATACTAAACTTTACTAAATATAGTCCTAATTGCATGTATATTGAACATATATAGCTAGAATCTTGAAATTTTATATGGAATACAGTTTGGGAAGTGGTGTTGATGTATGGAAATGGTTTATGAAATTAGTAAATTTTTATATAAAAAGTACAAAGTGGTACTAAATTTACTACTATTTGCGTTTAAATGAGTGTATATAGATGGAAGCCTGAAAATCGGAAATAGGACTGCTATTGTAATACAAGATTGAGGTAGCTTTAAAAAATCGTACTTATGTGTACGAAAATTACTAAATGGTACTAAATTTTGTGCAAGTTAGATTTAGGTGAACAGATAGAGCTGATGTCTTTAATTTGGGAATTAAAATGGCTGTTGGAGTGTGCGATTGTGGTAGTTCGTACTTATTGGTGCGAAAAGTACTAAATGGTACTAAATTTAGTACAATTTGGATTTTGGATAGAGCTGAAAATCCGAAATTTGTAATTAAGATTCTGAAATTTTGAATTAATATTACAGTTGGAGTACAAGATTGAGATATGTCGGTAGTTTTGAAAATTCGTCATTATGTGTACTAAATGGTACAAAATTTGGTACAATGTAAATTTGAGTGAACGGATAGAGATGGAAAACATAAATTTGGAATGAAAATTACAGAATTTAGGTAGTATTGGGATTTTGTACTTACGGAAAACTTATATTTGAAAATATAATTACTGTTATAGCACAGGATTCGAAATAATTCGAAATTCGAACTCATAAGTACGATTTGGATTTGGATGTTGCTAAACGGGTAGAGCTGGAATCTTTACATGTGGACTTATTGGGGTGCATGCATTGGGAATTCGTAATTATGGGTACGAACAGCACAAAATTTTGTACAATTTGGACGTTGGTGAACGGGTAGAACTCGCATCCTGAAAGTTGCATCTTAGGTTACTGTGGGAGTGTAGGAAATGTACAGAATGGTACCAAATCTTAGCAGGTATTCTTACATTTGGACTTATGATTACTAATTGAAAGCAGGTTTGGAATATTGAGATAGGTTTGGAATATGGGTACGAAAAACACAGAATGGTACCAAATCTGGTATAATTTGGTTTTTAATGAAAAGACAGAGCTGGAATTCTTAAATTTGGACTTACGATTACTATTTGAGAGCAGGATTGAGGTATATTTGAAAATTTGTACGAAATATACTAAATTTGGTACAATTTGGATTTGATTGAATCTTGAGATTTGGAATTTAGATTACTGTTGAAGTGTAGTATTGTGCTATGGAAAAAACTTCGGAGACTCGAATTTATGTGTACGAATAGTAAATAGAATAAATTAATCAGTGTAATGGAAATAAGAAATAGATTTCGGAAAATAGTGCTTTTGTGTATGAAGAGTACTAAATGGTAACAAACTTGATATTAGATGTATAAATAGAGGTGGAATTCAGAACAAAAACACAACAAATTATACGGTATTCACGATTTCCATATGAAATATATATTTTTTGTATTCCCTTTTCGCATACTTTGCTAGTATTTTATATTTCAAATTGAAATACAATTCCGTTCAATTATTAAATTGTATCCCTCTTTCTAGGTATATTTCTTTTTTAGACAATCCAAATCGACTATTTTCAATTACATCTGAAAAATATATGTTGTAATGAAATAAACACAATTATACTTACCCAATTCCAGTTATCTTGATCGGTATATGATCCAATTTCCTAATAAAATAATCATATAATTTCCGCTTGCCAACCTGGGCCACTTCCAAATCATATGCCAAATCGTCACGTACATCATCGAGCTCGGCTTGTAATTCATCACGAATTTGATTCGTAATACGCTCATCCAACAGTAAATCACGATGTCCGATGCGAATATCTTCATCAAACTTCAAATTTTCTTCCATAAAATGATTGAATTTCTCTTGTAAATCTAAAATATAATTCAAAACTTTTCGCTCATGAGCGGCAGCTGCTTCTTCTTGACGTTTTATTTCGGCATAAATTTTCTCTTGCTCCAATGAGGGATATTCCGGATCGAGTATATCTTCAGAGGGTATAATTTTTCGAGGCATAAATAGTACAGATTTCTTTTCTATTTCTATTTTGGGTCCAAGCCAATGATAAACGAAAACATTGCCGTCATAACCAACACTGAAAATGTAACGACCATCATGGCTAAGCAATAAACGCGATATTTTGCCATTGAGCGGATCATGCATATTGACCGTATGATAATTACGAAGATCGGTGAAATTGTCCGGATTTGTGTGTTGTATGCGTATCTTGCCGTTTACCATACCGAAAATTAAATATTGATCTCTGAAAGAATGCAAAATAAAAACAGTTTCTTGAAAAAAATTATATTTTTGGAAACAACTCACATATCTAATAATGAATGTATTTCAATGTCATCACCATCTTTGATAATTGTTGAACGTATCGGATTTGTGGCTGCATCCATGGTTAATTCGTATATATAACCGGCATCATAACCACCCATTGAAACCCATATAGTATCGTTTGGTGTTGTCCTAAGCCATAATATTGGGTTGGGTATGGCGGGTATATGTAGAGGTTCTTCTTCCTCTTCGGGCTCAGAATCAGCTGAAAAATAAAAAATATATACACTTGCATACTTTAAAAATTAATAGATTTTGAATTCTCACCCAACGCAGCCTCCATATCAATTTGCAATCCCGGATTAGCAGCCTTTAGCCGTTCAATATCATCCAATTTACGTTGCCTCTTTTTCTCTTTACGACGTTTAATTTCTTCTCTGCGCAATTCCCTTCTAATCTGACTCTTTACCGATACAAACTTGCCACATTTCATGGCATTCTTATCCGTTAGATTATAACTGAGAAATACTTGTTGCTCGTCGACATCCAAAGGCAGCTGGTATTCATAAACTTCACCACTTTTACAACCAATTAGAATCGTACTCTCTTCATTCTTCCAGTAAAAACAATTTGGAATTGCTTCAAATTGTATAAAGCCCATTGGTTGCAACCAAATGTAGGCATCCCTCTTTTCTCTTACATTATATAAGAAAATCGAACGATCTGCACTTCCAGTAATCAGCATGGTATTCAAGGGATTTATTGTAATCCTAGTTATGGGAGCCGTATGCGACTTTATTGGACGTATCAAATATATGTTGGGTTTTTGTGGTTGTGTTAAATCTAAATAGATTTGTCGTAGTATGCCATCTTCAAAACATGCAACCAATTCCATACAGGAATCCGATACCTTCGGGCCAAACCACAAAAGATCTGTACCAACAGCTGAGTATTGTTTTTCCAAAATAACTTTTTCGTTTTCATAGTCGTAGACCAAAATTCGTCCATCTTGACCTAATGTCATTAAGTGTGGTGACACCGGACTGGTTTGAGCTGCAATTACCTGACCACCATGGCACGAATAAAGTTTATACGATTCATTGGGTATATCGCGGGTATTTAGATCACAATACCAAATTCCACCGCCACCATCCTAGAAATGTTTAGTAGTAAATCAATCTGAGCTAAAAGCTTTCCATATTTTTGAATATTCAAAATGTCGCTACAAGCGTTATATCACTTATAACGAAGTAATATCAAATAAAGCGTAAAAGTGCTTCGGAAATTTTCAAACTTATTTCGACTGTACTTACCAAAACATAGTAACCAAAATCATTCTCATCAAAAAGTTTTATCTTCTGCACCATTCTTATTTCACATTCGCCAACATAGAATTCAAAAATCGGTTCTATTTCCACAAAACGATCATCATCCGGTGGATCGGCTAAATCAACAGTTTCCCAAAACCAAATGCGAACATAACCATCCATACCCACAGTGGTAACTTCACCATTATCCATGGTAATCCTTACAATGGGTTTACTATGACATGGTCGACGACCTTTACGACATATTTCAAACTTTATCAGACCAGCTTCCCATAACAGCATATTACCCCATTCACAACCCGATATAACATTTTCATCGGGTAACATATAAACGGCATAGATATCACTAAAGTCGGTTTTACCAAAACGACCCAGGTCGCCTTGTAACTTCAGGCCGGTGAATGTATTTGCCATTTTCCAAAACTTAATATGACTCAGACCACAAGTCACCAACAGAATGGGATTAAAACGCGAGAAATGTACATGAAGGACATCATTTTGAAATGCCTTTGATCGTAGAATAACTTCGACTTTTTGCCATTTCCAAATGGTTAACATAAAATCTGGATAACCTGCCTGTGATGCAAATAGTTCTCCGCTGTGATTGTACGAACCGCATGTGAATTGTTGTTTAGCAGCTCCTTCTAATTTCAAGCGTGGTTCTTCGTTCGGGTAATCATAAATGAAAACTGTTGCGTCAGGTCCATTTTCACCAATTGTCAGAAGTTGGGGATAATCAGGATGATAGTTTTTCTATAAACGTAAGAACAGTGTGTAAAGTTGTTATTCCTTTGCAAATCTATACCATAAATTCTTTAGGGGAAGTACGCAAATTTTGTTGCCTTACCGTTATAAATCCAATACCACAACCGAATACTGACTTACGAAATGTTACTTCTCTTCTTGATATGCTAAAATAGTGAATATATGTGCCTGAGGCAAATACCAATGTATCCTCATCGATTAGGACCATGTTGTACAGCCGCTTACAGTCATAGCCAAACGAATGCCTACAAAGGAAATTATTTTTAATTCAGAAAAATTCACACAATTTCAAGAAATCAAGACTCCTACTTCAATTTAATAACATCCCCGGCATCAAATGTTGGTTCAAACTCTGGCTCCACATTGTCATTTTCATACAATATTTCCGAATCGTTACGCATTTCTAAGGGATTATTTTATATTTTTAGTAAAACGTATTCAAAGTTTTCGAACCGCTTTATATATTGAGCTAAACAAAAGAAATGTTTATTTGGAAAAGGTATCCTGGTCGAAGTTTGTATCGGTTGTTTCTTTGGTAACAAAATACTTGTTGGTTGTTTACGAGTATACCCACCGTTTGGTAAACGAGTTGTGTTTACTTCGTTGGTGATATCAAACACACCGATATCCCACTAGTAACAATTCAAGATACTAGCGCTGTTCCATTGGTATCAACTTAAAATTTACTGGCGAGAACCTAATATCCTCATATTACCAGGAAATTTATCTGGAAACTAGAAATTGTTTTATACTCATAACATATTCAAATAGACACAGATTGAGAGTCAATTCAACAAAAACTGAACAGTCGCTCTCACGAGAAGAGTTTGAATGTAATCATCGTCTAAGAAAATTTTTTTTGAAGCCGTGCAACTTGTGCAACATGCGAAGACATGAAACTCAAAGAAAATCAGCAACTTCCTTACAACCAACATGCCAATAATCATCGAGTCTAACTTCTATAGTATAAGGAGACCAAAGCCTCTCCCCTCTAGCTGAACTCCCCCGCAAACTCTGCCATAACAAGTCAGAGCAGACAGACGTAATGTTAATTATCAGTTAACCCACCTGAAATCCTAAATTTTAGACCAAATAATGAATATTTCCCAACACAATGTATAAATCACGCCGGCAAATGCAATATTTCCATAGGTTTTAAACACATCACAGATCGCACCGCGGCCATTCTGAGTAATATCAAAATTGACATATATATTACAGCGCAGTGATTACTGGAAAAGTACGCAGACAAAAATAATAGCAACGACGAAATCTTCAAAATTAAAACAAACTTGAATTGTTGAATGAACTTTTACTTTGTTACGTGCATATGTTCATGGTGGAAAATATTAAACAATTAATTCTTCTTATAACGATAATTTATACGTTCATACAATCTAAAATAAAAAATATATATTAACAATCAACATAAAATATCCTTAAAAGCATCATCATCTTCGTCCTGAAAGAAATCTTCAATATTTGCAATTTCTTTACTTATATCTAAATTATCTACTGTTGACTTTGAGGTAGCAGTCTTTTTGCACAACTCATCGTTTAGCGAAGTTGAAGAGGTTGCGTTTGTAGGTTTAGAAGGAGAAAAATATTTTTCAATTTTATTTGACTGAAATGAAAAAAGTGATGAAGTCAACGATTTTGTTTTTACTATATTTTTTATTCTTACCGTAGTTGGTGCTATGGTGTGTGTAGCATCTTGAAGATTTTCACAAAAAATACCAGCTTTATTGAGAACATCTTGTTTCGCTTTGAGCATATTCCAGATATGATCATCTGCGGTTTTTGCTGCCATTAAATAACGACATGTTACTGGATTCAGTTGACCAATACGATGGGCTCTGCTTTCGGCCTGAGCTAATGTCTAAGGACAAATTAGAGTATTGTTAGTTTTGTATACTTGTCACGTTAAACATCTGATCATCCATATTTATTCTACTTACACTTGGATTCCATGTTAATTCTGCAAACAAGATTAGCTCAGCTGCAGTCAATGTTATACCGGAATTACATGCACCCAGCGACAACACTGCCACTTTACACGATGGCTTCTTTTGGAATGTATCAATAAATTCACCTCTATCCTGTTTTCTTGTCGCACCATCTATGCGAATAAAATTCACTTTGAGCTTTCGCAGACAATCACAAATAGCATCCAGCATAACACGATGATGAGCAAAAACTATAAATTTCTTTGGTTCCTTTACTTGTTGTTTAAGGTAGGCACATACAGCTTTTGTCTTTACTTCAGCAGTTTGTGCATAAAATCGCAATAGAATTTGTTCTCGTTCCTGACCTTTACAGCTTTGTAAGGTTTTGGCAACTGTATTTAATGACTCTTTGACTTCATCACTTGGCCAAACAAGAGCGGGATCTAATACAACAGTTTCTCTGAAAATAAGCAAATATTTACATTAATTAAGGTTTAGTTAGATTTGGTATTTTAACATTGATTACCTGAATTTTTCTGCCAAATCATTCAGAACTTCAGCTTTGGTTCTTCTAATCATAAACTTAAGTTTCAGTACAACATTTAGTTCCTTTAGATTAGACTGGCCATTTGCATCCCAACCAAAATTCGTTTGCTTACCATCACAATAGCGGGTTGCTGTTTTGAAATTAATATTTGGAATACGTTTTCTAATAATAATATCATTGTACTTACTGAAATCAATATAGCTCATGAATTTTCGATCTATCATTTGCAACTGACTAAAAAGTTCTACTGGTTTCGATAGGGCAGGTGTTCCTGATAGCAAAATTACATGTTTAGCTTGCTGTGACAAACGATCAGCCACCATTGTACATTTTGCCTTTGGATTTTTCAAACTGTGCGATTCATCAAAAATTAAAAACCCAAATTTACGGTCGGTGATTTGTTGAATATTTCTTTCCATCATGCTGTAACTGGTAATGAGAACTTTACAATCGCCAATATATTGTTGATTTGAATTGAGGACTTGTATGTAATGTACAGGTACATATGGTAAAAGATCACGAATATGATTAGCCCACGAGTCTCGAGTTGATGCCGTAGTACATATAAAAAGTGGCCAATCTTCTCTATAGAAATCGGCAACAGCAATAGCTTGATAGGTTTTACCCAAACCCATTTCATCACATATCATACAACGGCCATTCTGGGAAATAGCGAAACTGAAAGAGATACACAATGACAAATGTTGAAATATTTTTGCAAATAAATGTTAGGAGTTCTATACAGTACACAAAGATTGTTACATGCTTTATGCTTCCAATGATAATTATGATTCACCTCTTTCAAGGTCGGTCTAAAGTAATTAACTTTAAGCAAATGAAATTAAGCAATTAAATTATGCCGACAAGCACAGCTCAAAAATAAATAGTGGGGGAATCTACATAACAATTGTACTGAATATGAAACTGAAATATTTCAGCGGATTTGAAGGAATGATTACTTTGTGCCTTCATTTCAAGGGCACTATATGTGTTTGAATTCATTTGATTATTTACATTTATATAAGTCAAGCGGGTGATCAATCATGAGGTTCAAAGAAATTAAAAAATATAAATGTAATCATAATTAGCAGATTCCTGGTATCTTGTCACCTCTGATTGGTCTGGCGATATTAAGATCATTATTTTAATAAAACAATGGGCGACTACATCGCTTGAAAAAAAAACTATTTTCTCTCACAACTAATTTTAATATTGTATGAAAAATTAAAAATCCGTTTATATTTAAGACTGAAATTTCTAAAAATGGCCACGAATGAGAACCAAATCAAATGAGAATATTTTATGAATTATTTGTAACAAACATGTGCAATACCTACCACACACCTTCCCTTTGAAATGGCATAAGTTTTTCCGCCAACTTTGGTTCCAAGGACTCCAAACATGATGTGTCGGCTTCTTTTGGTGGCGTTAAACACAAATTCAAAATTGATTTGGGTATAACACCCATAACGATATCTGGCTTTAAATTATTAACACGTTCTTGCAACAATTTATAATCGGACAGGCCAAAATTCCAATAACGAGTTTTAGGATCTAAAATAAACATTTGGAGTTGTTATACCAAAAAACAATTGATAGATACTTCCCGAGATATAGGGTTCAAAATTTAAAAAAAATACTCCCAATTTTTTTCAATATCTGTAAGAAAACCACTCCGAAACATTCGAAATTTTTCTGCAAATAGTCCTTTTGATACTGATAACCCCTTTGTTTGGGAAGAACTTCGTACTTCCCGAAATATGGGTTTCCAAAATTGTAAAAATTAGCCTATTTTCCATCTGTCCATAAAAAGGCGTAAATCCCCAACCGAAGTGTGGCTATTTAGAAAAAAATTTAAGAAAATTCTTCTCACGTAGTTATAAATCCACTGATATAAATTTAAATTTTTATACCCCATATTTCCGGAAGTATGAATAGAAATGAATATCTCGGGAAGTACCCCCGAAACAATTTATGTTGTTGTTATCAGCATCAAAAGGGCTATCTATGGTAAAAGTTTCAAAATGGTCTGAGAGGTGTCCGTAAAGTGCATTTGTTCCCAATTGATATATTCTTTCTTACCATACGATTTCGAAGGTATACTTTTAAAGACCTCAATAAGTTTATTATGAAAGCTAGATGGCTGAACTTCGAATCGCTGGGCGCTGATCATTGCAACTTTACAACTGACAGAATTTAGAAATACTGGTGCTACACTTTTCTGTGGTTGGGCCACTGTGTTGGCTGGTCCTCCATTCTGAACATTCGGTTTCTCATTGCTCGCATCAAGTGACTTCCTTTTATAAAAATTCCCCATTCCTTCATTAGAAGGTCTTTTGTAAGGATGGGCTGCATCACGAGCTGAATGTTGTTGTTCTTGGCGTTGCTTGAATATGTTGCTTCCCTTCATTGCGTTCAAGAAAGAGGATGCCTTGTTTTCAATTCTTGGAGCAGCAGTAACGGGAGCCCCGGAACTAACAGGAGCCGCAGCCGTGACAGGTTTACATGGTGCAGATGGAAGTAGTATTGTTTGCGGTGGCGCTGGTTTGTTGCTATTAGTGTTGTTGTTGTTGGTTGTACTTGTCAGCCCAGCCTTTTTGGCTTTCAACTTTTCGAGCGCTATACGCTTCTTTTCGGCAATTTCTGCTGCTGAACATGACATTTTTAATTAATGCTGTTTATTTATAAATATTCAATATTTTGTTCAATTTCTATTCGCTACGCATTTCCAATCCAAGTTCAGCGGCAACCAAACTAGTCTCGTTGTGAAATTTAAAAACAAAACGACCTGTCAAATTTTTAGTAAGTGATGTCAACTATGAACTCTGAAGAAAACGTTCAAATTTTCTCCAATACCAATAATAGGGGGAAGCAATAGTAGTTGGTAGATAAATGTAAAATACAAGAATAGTTTAATTTTTGAATAATATATTAATAAAAAAGTCTTAAAGAATTTATTTATTCTATGACATCAAATGACATCAAAAGTATCCATCCATGATTCTTGTATATGAAATCCATTATTTATATAAAATGTTTTCAAAACATAATGAAAAGAGCAAAAAGAATGAACGGTTACAATTTCTTGCCAAAATCCAGTAGGGAAAACCATGAAAGGTTTGTTTCATCCATAACAAAATAATTGTTTCCAGATGAGCGTGGTAAAAATCATTTTAATTCAGTCTATTATAATGTCTTATAGTGTCATTTACAAATTTAAATCCATATATGCACTAAATCCATCCAATATGAATCACTATAAACAACCTACAAGCTGACAATTTGCAATCTGAGGTGTTCACATTGAAAACCTTTTGATGATCCCAGATGACAAATTTTGAGGAGCTATTCAATCAATTGCCCTGTCTTGTGTAAACACAATTACAATATAAAATAAATACTGGGATACAAACCAAAAAGGAAACACTTTGGGAAATTTCTAACACATTTTGTTTTGTTCCGTTATTCGTGTAAACATCTTTGACGTTTTGTTTTGGCCAAACGGAATAAACAAAACGACATTCATTACCAAAAGATCAAAAGTATTACTTTGTTGAAAATTGAATCTTTTCTTTGTTTGCGTCGTAATTCGTAATCATTCTCAAAAATACAAGGATTGGAATAACGGAAACAGTATTTACGAATCACCAAATGACGGCATTACCAAATGAGGAACAACACCTGGAAGAAATGGCCACAGATGTGCATGGTTATGATGGCGATGTTACCTTCTTCGATTTGAGCTGGGAAGATGTAATCATCCCGAAGATACTATCCAACCTCACGCTGAAGGAACTTTTCACATTGCGATGCTGCTCGAAGACTACCAAACGCCTCGTTGAGTTGGCTTTGGAAAAACTGGTTGAGATTGATTTTGCAGGCAACAATTGTGCAAATATTGATTTGACCTTTAAAGTACTCGGTGAGAATTGTAAACGTTTGGAAAATCTTCAATTGGCTCGATGCAATTGGATGACCGATGATCTGTTACTGCCCATCTTGGCTAGAAATAAACATTTGAAAATAGTCAATCTCAATGAATGTGTCAATATAACACCATTGGCACTGCAGCCAATTATTATCGAATGTAAGGATTTGCGAGTTTTAAAACTGTCAAAATGCCAATGGTTAACTACTGGGGCCGTTGATGCCCTGACCTTACATCAGAGTAATTTGGAAGAGTTTGATATATCACATTGTGCTGCCATTGGTGAACGCTGTCTGATAATATTCTTTAGGAAGCTGAATAAATTGACGGTACTTTCGCTGGCCAATACTTTAAGTGTTACCGATCAAGTATTGATACAAATTGCCAATTATTGTCGTGCCCTGGAACATATCAATTTGGTTGGATGTGCTGCCATATCAGATTTTGGAATACAGTGAGTACTTTGGGTATAAAATAAAATATATACGATAACGTTGCATACACATTTTATAAAAATAACAAACTGGGATTCAGCCTATTTTGCAAAAACAAAATACAAATGGTATACCAAATAACCCAAAAAATCCGCCAACACTATATCAGCCGTTAAAATAATTGGATGTATACTTCTCGGTAAAAAAAGATCTTTGAATTGTAATGGGTTCTTAAGGAGTTAGTTAGTCTATGTTGCCATTATGTTGCATTATTCTGCTGTACCGTATTTAATTTGTATGTTAACTTGCAATCCACAGTTTCCAATACAGTATAGGTAATACTTGCTAAATGAAGCCAATATCTTTTAGTCTCGCATGTACAAAAATATCGGCCAGCAATTACATACATTACATCGGTTAGTGTGAAATGTGTATACTCTCCCTAATTAGAATCAAAACTTAACAATGGTTGCACCAAAGTTTCGGCATTATTAATAACTATTCCGAAACCCTCTATGACAGATAAAAGTCAAATCCGGTATGAAATGAAAACAAACCCTTCCAATATTTTAATGGATAATCATATTATTATGGTCGGTCGGATAAAGTTTAGGCCCAGCCTGCTCTAGTAAATGTCAACAACGCGTGTAAAACACATGTGTTGAAGAAATAATCTTTTCCAACTAGATGAGACGAGCATAGGCTCGTTTTTCTGGTATAAATATTTGCTTTAGGAAGGAACATGCTGGTCCAGCAAACATTCAGTACCTCTATATATTTCTTCACTCCTGGTTTGTTAGGTTTTGGATGTGGAATTATTTCCTTTATTTTGTACTTCCCAGATATCACTGAAGTATTGAGGGACCATTGTTTTTGAATATGACATCGTTTTGCTATTTGTTTTAGATGATTTTGTAATCGAAAAAGGGCACTGATATCCTCTGAAATAGTGGACGTTTTTGTTATTTCTCACTCAGATATATTCTGCTTTGACGACGAGTATTGTTGTTTTAGCAGCAGGCAGAGGTGATAGGTGATGATTCAGATCATAATGCCCGGAAATTAGATCCCGTGATCTCCTACTGCAGGTCTTAATGAACTGAATAGAGCTGTATATATTTGTGTGGGCTGCCTCAACCTTGAACCTGCAAACATCAAAGTGCGCATTAAAATACACATTAAAGTTTATAGTCAATCATGATTTCATATACCAAATCATTCACAATGATTGTATTACTATATTTCTAATGTCTTTGTCTCAAACAATTTTCTTTTTCTCTTATTTTCTTTCCTTATTTTATTCTTAGTGCCTTGAGCAATTATTGCCAACGTCTGCAATCTCTATTTATTCGACATTGCCCTCGTGTTACTGAACGCTCTTTAGGTCCATTACGCAAACGCGTTTATATTGATAGACCAAATCATTTAGATTTCAATCAAAATGATTTTTATCCCAGCGATTTTCTTATCTACTAGCCTTGGCATTATTAACTCATTAAGGATTCTAAACCAAATAACCATTTACTTTACAGAGCTTTAACAAAAAATTGTACCCAATTGAAATCGTTAATGGTCCAACGCTGTGATTTGGTAACGGAACGATCTCTGGGTCCATTGAGAGGCAAACTGCATATTGATCGTCCGGCTGAAATGCAATTACAACTCTACGATTTTAGGCAAAATAATAATCATATATTTCTTCAAGTTTAAACACACAAATTTTGAATGGAAAATTGGTAGTGATAAAAACACCAGGCTATTTTTAAATTAAGAATGTGATTTTGTAAATATGTATGCTGTCTATTAAAGCTTGCTTGCTGGTTAACTTGCTTTCATTCGAATTTAATTTGTTTGTTTGTTATAGATTTGTACTTTATTTTAAGTTTATGTTTGGTTGGGCATTCGCTTTTTATTTATTGTTATAATCTTAAAAAATACATACAAATATATATATAAATATAATAAGCTTAAATATCTACAGACAAAAACATTCAAAAAACAAAATCAAATAAAATGTATCTGGAATAATGAAAATCATTTGTTTTTCTTTATCATTGTGCTTTGATTAATGGCGAGGTAATTGTTGCTGTTGACTCATCTTCAACAGTTAATTTTGTCTCATATAAACGCTGACTTAGTGTTTCCATGTAGGCTTTGTGATCATCTTCAATATTGCTGTTTTGCCATTTGGCATGTAGCTCCTTGATTTTTTGATATGCCGCCATGGACATATTAAGACTAGGCATTACTTCAATTAGACCAGGTTCACCGGTAAACGATAATCCACAAAGGCCTAAATATGTATGGAATGGATCAGCAGTAGAGTGTGCCCATTTTGCAAAACCACCAACTACATTATCCTGAGTTTCTAGTATATAGGAACGATTTTCCGCACAGTCGCTTAATTCAAATGCATTTAATATTTTGAGAGAAGCACCAATCCAGAATGAGTAGCATGTATCCACAGGCTTATTGGGTCTTCCTTGGAATCCATCCATTTGACGGAATATGCACCAACGTTTAATATTTTCAATTGTGTCTGCATCGAGTCTATGTAATTGTCCACTTAGTTGTAATGCGGCCAATGCACAGTAAGTAGTGCCGCCATGACCTTCGCCGTCCAAATGTTGGCTAAAGCCATAATCATAACGCTGCAAATAAGATTCAATAATATAAGAACTAAATAGTTGCTTTTGTAATTAGAATTACTTACAATGCTATTCATAATGAATTCGAACATTTTCTCCTTGTCCACATCACCCCAATAGTCCAACATGTGACATATTGCTGCTGCACAGAAAACAAAACGCATATCATTTTCGCTGCCATCAATGCTGGCACTAAAACTGCCATCTGATTTTTGTACAGCAGCCACACCTGAGGAGGATAACAAATTCGAGTTCGAAATAGTTCTGAAGGAGATTCGTTTTGCATTTATTTACCATCAACTATTGATTTTCGATCCAATCGGGACAGATCATCACCCAATGTAACTAATATTCCTAAACTGGTATAGGTCATGGCCAAATGACCCCATTGATAGCATCTAGCATTGCGCAATAGTTCTTCGTCTTCCGTTTTAATTTTAATGGTACGTGAACCCTAAAAATAACAAGAGATAAAAATATTTTAGTAATGAAGGACAACATCATAAATTGAACAGGTGAAAGTAATATCAGATTCAGGTCGAAATGATAATAACTTCAAGCTACAATATATATATATATATATATATATAAATGTGAGTCATTTGGGGGGAAATCGTCTACATTTAGGGTATCAGATTTTAAAAGAACTTTTTCAATGAATTATTTGAATATTGTCGTTGTATCCCCTTTTTATTTTTAAAAATAAGTTGTTGGTCCTTGAAATTAGTACAGTTAAAAACATAGTATCTAATATATTTTATTTGTATTACCCAATGTTACTGCTACTGTTTGGACTTCGCTCTTTATCTAATGAATATTCAATATAATTTTCAAATAACATAAAACGATTCAACACTTAGATATGTGTTTGATACCTTAAACTTGAAATTGAGATCATAAATTTGTGAAAGTTTTTGTCTGAGCAAAACAAAAACAAGTCTAAAACTTAAAGTTTAACACTGCAGTAACTCATGGACATATCCAATGAAACAGGCAATGATTTAAATCACGTAAAGATAAGACAGTGATGAGATTTACTAAAACAAACATAGGGCAACATATTTATCAAAAATAACAAAAAAAGATAGATAAAAAATTAAAATAAACAAATGAAATATCCCATAGTTTGTACATACACAAATGATAAACAATAGAAACAAAACATTTAAGGCCAACTTACCAGAAATCCTGAACAATTACGTTCACCGGGATGGGGTATCACCAAACTACCATAGGTCCAATCAATAATATTTTTACGCATTTCTGGTGTTAACAGATGCAGGGAATTCAATACATCCAGACCACAGATAGCAAAAAATGCTATGGTACCCCTGAAAAAATATTCAATTAAAATAAAATTATTCACCGAAAATATAAGTTTATTTTTACCTTGTTGAGTCATGCGAAGCCAAACGTGCAGGCAACAAATGCAGGAATCGTATAAAATACTTGGCATGTTTGGAAAGCAATACGGGGGCTACATCTGCTGTCGCTGGTCCTTCAATATTTACAGCTTCGTAGGACATCTTGTTCAAGTTTGTCTATACAAGTAGATAGTAAGTGTGGGGAATCACAGATCACTGCCGGTTTCTCCTAGATTGGTCGTATTGCAAATGAGAAATTTCTTTCAGCGGTAGAACGTATTTATCAACACTCCCTGGGTTTTGTGTGCGCCGCCGTTTTTTTATCTATGCGCGTACTTTTTGTTTGTTTTGGCCAAAATTTTCACTTTCAAATCAGTTCTAAACACCAAAAGAAAAAAATCACCTGAAAAAATTTGTCAATGACATTGGTAAATACAACCAAAGAGTCAGGAGTCAGCGGGATACTTTTTCGCCGGCGTGAAAACAAACGAAAGCGTTAGCGGCTAGCGGCACAAAATGTCAATTACAGTCGACGCCCGGTATAACGAATGATATATTGTCAGACCCATTCGTTATAGCGAAAAATTCGTTATATCGCGAAGTTTTTTATGGTGCCATTTTATTTAAAAACAAAAATGTTAATCCACTTTTCATTGGATTTCTAATAAATATGAATTCATTAACGTAATAATAATAACGTGTTTATATATGTTTTTGTAAGGCTGACCCATTATTTTTTGCGCCATTCGTTATACCCAGTATACAAATTTGGAAAACTTTTGTTATATGCGATTGTCAGTATAAAAAGTCGACTATTTTGCTCGATTGAGTATTCGTTATACCGGGCGTCGACTGAATTTGTTTTCATTTCCTGACAGAATATTATACGTTGTACAAACCAAAATCAATTTATTTTTTAAAAAACAAGAATACATTTTTCTTCCATTTTATTATTAATTCGTTGAAAAATGTTCACAGTCTTTGAAAATATTTGTTTTTTAACAACACTGTCATATGTTTTGATATAAATTTCCATTGAAATGTTTATTTTTACCTAAAATATGTCAACTTAATTGAGAGCAAGAGAAGATCTGAGTATGACGCTGACCAAAAATGAATAAAATCTATTTTAGCGTCAAGCCGCTAGACGCGAACGTCAGCCGTCGGGATTTCTCGTTGCCAATAAACGACCGTCGATGACTCTAGACTCTCTGGTTGTGTTTAGACTCTGAGTTACAATGTCATGCAAGTTAAAATGCCGGCATATTTAAAATCGTCGGCGGTTCTTAATTTCGACGGCGTTGCGGAATTGGACGAAATAGGTTTAAAACATAACTGATAAAGTAGAATCAAAACAAACAAAGATGTACCTTAGTCTATCTTAGGTCGAAAATCGGACGAATCGGGAATCAAAACAAAACAGGAGTTAATACTGCGTAACAACATATGACTCAAATTTAAATTTTTTACGAAAACAGCTGTTTGATTTGGTGAGTATACGTGAGAGGGAGAATACATAGAATGCACGCACAAGAAGCTGTTCATGGGTGAGTCAGGGCTGCCAGATTTGACGATTTATCGTCATTTTGACGATTTTTTGGTCAACAAATTAAAAATGATTTGACGATTTTTGCTTAAAAAATGACGATTTTTGGTCATTTTAGTAATATTGCGATATTTGGGTTCTTTTTGTTATGGCAACATCAAAAAAGTATAAAGCGAAAGAAAAAGTAAAAAGAATATGAATATTTGGCATATGTGTGTGAGGTATACTTTGTATTGTTACAAAGCCAACAACAGTTTACGTTTACCCAGATAGATGAAAAACTACCAATCAGCTGTGCCGTTCTCTGGGTAGACAGCAACAAAACAAATAAAAGTTAACGGTTGTTGTTTTTTGACACGGGCAAATAGAAGAAAATTGGTGAACGGAAAAGTTGTTATATTAAATTTAAGTTTCAATTTATACAAAGTTATTACAATTTTAAAAAGATTCGATTTGAAAGCATTTTTAAAATTGTATCTATGATAAGTCCCACGTTTATTAGTAATGAAAAGAATAATTCATTTTTCGATATCCTTAAAGAATTTCCACATTTTGTGAACGAAGATGAATAACAAAAATTGGATTCAGAATTTCGCGAACCAAGGTTGTTTGATTTTGATAACATTTGTGAAAATTATGAAACCGATTTATTTCGTTTTTGGAATGCAATATTTGATTTGAAACGTGGTGATGGTTCATATGTTTTTCCTATAATAACTAAATTTGTGCGGAAGGTAATGGTATTACCCCATTCCTCAGCAAATGTTGAGCGTGTTTTCAGAAAATGATTAAACAAATATTTCTTTTCAAAATGAATAACTTTATTAAAGTCGAAATGACTATGAATACCTGACTATTGAATACCTCTTTTATGTTCCTTTTAATAAAAAATAGATTTAAATATATCTAAATGTGCGTATTTAAATTTTTGACGATTTTTGATAAAAAAATCGTCATTTTGACGATTTTTCAAAAAAAAAAATCTGGCAGCCCTGGTGAGCACGCATGCATTAAATTACAAAGATCTTGATATGTATGAGAGAGGGGGCACCTTTCAACGTGGGGCAACTTTAAACAGCGCTCATAAAATCTTGGTTTAAAATTTTTCCGATTCGCAACCACATTTTTATATATGGCAATCTTGTTCTCTATCTGCGTAAACCACTTTGGCTAGCATTTTCAGCATATAATAAAAATTACAGAGTGAGACATAAATAAAATTACAGAGTAGAAAATTGGAAAATTAGACAAAAATATCCATTTTTTATACAAAACTTTTCTGAGTAAATTTATCCAGTAAGATTTTTAAATACTCAGTAATAAAAAAATCAAATTAGCTCTCTCAATTCACACTGTTTTATGGTTTTACGCAGACAAACTTATTGACAGTACGTGTTTTTATTTTTTTGGAAACAAATTCTATTCATTGAAAATTTTGTTTTTCTATAAAAAATAAATGTAAAATAATGTAAAATAAGTATACACACATGTAATTAAGGACCTTGGGTGTATATATTTTTTTATTCCTAGCTTTTAAAAACATTAACATTTAAATTAGATACATAGTTGTATTGGAGATATGCACCAAGAGCACATAATTGCGTTTTAATTTTTGAAATGACAGTTCCTTTATTACATTTTCGTTTTTGTATTGGCAAACAAAAATCAACAAATCTTAAAATTTTTCCATATACAGCAAGAATCTATAATTAATTGGTCTGTTCCCGTACTGCAAGAATCTACTTTTTTTTACGACGATAACAATTTTTCCTTTGTGTAAAGGGTCACACACACCTTCTGGCATGCATGACAGCATTTGAAGTAGTATTAGTAAATTTGTGTCACTTTAAGAGTGTATGAGTATTTCATGCAGTATGAAAATCAAAATAGTTCTGATTTTGAAGATAAACCCCTTTCAATCCGATGAATTCTATTAATTTTCAAAGTTGTCGGAAAAAATATGTGAAATAAAAAGTGTATGTGTGTGTTGAAGTAATATAATTTTTTGTGATATTAAAACAATTTTTGTAATTTTGATTGAAGAGGATTGAAGAGTACTACACACTATTCAAGCAAACACGTACACAGTGGTTCATTGGTATTAACAGTATAGTGTGTAAGTCTGCTTTTCCGCAGGCAAATTTTTATTTGGCAAATACTGAGTTTGTAGGCGAGAGGGGTGCGAGGAAGAAAAACAAAAATTTGCCTGTTCAGAATTTGCCGTACACGCAAATTCTGCTTTGCTCTGTTCGTTGAAAACAATTTTGTTGACATTTCCTTTTGAACCTATTCGTTTTACTGTCACACAGCCGGCTTTTGTTTACAAACCTGTTGCTTTAATTTGTGCAAATATATAAAAATATGCAAATATATATAAATATATAAAAAATAAATAAAATATAAAAAAAATCTTTAAATGCAAACACTTTTGACTTTTATTTTCTTTCTTTTGAATTTTGTTTCGCAAATTTGGCAAAGAAAAATTTGCTAATGGAAAAGCAAGCGAAAATTTCAAAAGAGAAAACAAAAAAATTGCCAAATAAAAATCTGCCTGTGGAAAAGCAGACTAAGAGCCATAAAATTAGTTTTTTTAGTTTTTTTAGTTTTTTTCGGGTTTTCCGTTTTTTTTTTCGTTTTTCTGTTTGAACATAATTAAATTGCGCTGAAACCTCTATAACAAATGCTAGTTCCCATCCCTGAAATTTGAAACAGCTGTTCCATTGTAAACATCTGCTCTGACATTCTGAACACTTCCCATTGAACGGTGAAGTTTCATAAGATTCACGTTTGTTTTTTATTTGGCCGTGGAAAAAACAAAATTTATTAATTAAAAATGAGAATAACACAATTTCTTCGATCAAAATTGAAGAACTTCTCAAATTTTCCAAAGGAATACATTGAGAGAAGTAAAAAACAGGTGAGCATATAATTCATATTCCAATTGTTGTCGGTATGCAGCATTGGGTTAGCTGCCATAACAGACCAACATACCGATACCGGCCAGAAAGTCGTGGTTTAATGAATTTAACGTAAAGAGAAAAATGCTCTTGCATAATTGAAGGCAGATCCCTTTGTACAATTATGTCCTTAAAATGCAGTCATTGCCAAAGCAATACTCCTTCTGGGTATTACTGAAAAAAAAACTTAAAAATGTGGCGAATAACTGAATGACGTCCTCCATCAAACGTTTTTAATAAAGTTAGAACTTGAAGAATTACAATCTTTCGCAACATCATTCATATCTTAACTATTTTATTTATACAGGTCTACTATGAGACTCCCAAAGGAACACCACAATACCTCAATCGCACCGTTGAACGTAAACGCTATCGCTATACCATGAATCGTCCGTGGACCGGACATTTCCGTCAACAAAATATGCCCGGTACCATTAGGAAAAAAGTCCAGATTACACCCATAGGTATGTATTTCTTATAATTTACTAATTTTTTTAATTTAAACAAAAATATTTCCTCTCATAGAGGACTGGAGCTATTTCCGTGGTGATCGCGTTGAAATTTTGGTTGGCAAAGATAAGGGCAAACATGGCCTGGTCACACAAGTTATACCCGAACGTAATTGGGTAGTTGTTGATGGTATTAATTGGCATTATCGCACTGTCGGAGCTGAGGATGGTTTTCCCGGTGTTCTGATTAGATCAGAAGCACCATTGGATGTAAGTTGGATTGGTGTTATTTTTTATTTTTGTATTTTTTATGGAGTAGTAAAATTGTTTCATTTTATTTATAGGTAACCAAGGACATACGTTTGGTCGATCCATCCGATTTGCAAGGCTGTGAGTTTGAATGGCGTTATACTGAAGATGGTGAAAAAGTCCGTGTATCAGTGCGCACCGGCCGTATAATACCCATTCCTGAGTCGAATAATCATACTCATGATTATAAGGCCAAAGCTGCTTATATTGAAAGAGAAGGAAAGGATACTCCAGGTAAATATATGACTCATTCAAATAAAGAAAATTAAATTATTTGTAGCTGGGTTCTGAAAAATTGGCATAATTCAATTCAACGTTATGGTAAAGTTTTAAAATACCCAGAACTAAACATTTGAAAACATACAACTGTAATTGAAAAAGTGAATTTGTTACTAGATTTGTTTCTGCTCGTAGACTCCACCGCCGTGGAAACATTGTAGTAATGTTGATTTCTCATTGCAACATGTTGGCTCTTTTCTTAGAGTTTTAACATATTGAAGGTTCGTATTATTTTATGGTGTGATCGGGAAAAGTATTTGGATGTTCTATGTCGAAAAACTATTTCAAAGGAGATGCTTACATATTTCGTCCCTTTCTTCTTTTCCGAAACTTCGTCAATGGATATGGAGATCATTATGATCCATTTCTGACTAATTCCGACATGCATTTTATGGCTGGGATTCAGATGAAAGCTACTTTAGTCTGACGACTTAGTTGAACAAATCCCCTCTCAAGCCTTGACAGTTGTACTTTTTTTGGCTAGGAAATCCGCTTATTTCTCGGCAAATAATTCTATAGAGAATTATGTGCAGTAGTAGATAATATACACACAATGTCTAAATTAAATTCATAAATTTAACACCCTTATATATTTTCTTTTCAGCTACCGTTATTCAAGAAGTCACCTTTAAACCCAAACTTTCTACCTTCGAAATGGATATTATGGAAGAAATGGGCATAGAAGAAGATCGTATACCCAAAAAGAGTTATTGGTATTAAATTAGCCAAAACAACCCAAAGCAACTAGTAATAAATATTCAACAGTTATTTGTTATATGTAAAAATGTTAATTTAATTAACAAAATTATTATTAATAAAAAAATAAAAACATACAAAACTTGCAAAAAAGCATTCAAAACCAAAACAAATATTTGTATTTGCTATTTTCTAGCCATTGTAAAGATTTCCTCTCGATGATCACGTAAATTTTTAGCCAATGTTTTAACTCTTTCTTCAGCTCGTTCAAAATCTTGTCTCAAAGTCTTATTAAATGTCTCATAAAGCCATGCTGACGCCTTCGATATATTCGATTCATAGGAGACAAATACTTTAGTTGTGTGTTCGTAACGTGCTACATTGGCAATATCGGTAATCATATAGGTATTGCAGTGTTTAACTGCTAAAATTTGACGATTACTGGTATATTTTATTTCCACGTGTGGCAACGACAGCTGAGCACATTCCAACGACACCAAGGAAGCTTGTAAATCTTTGCGGCAAGCCAATGCAGTTTCAATTTTATCCTTCGGATTTCTACAAAGGTGAATATATTTTGAGTAAACATATTTATGAAAATCTTTTTTATTTTAGTTTTTCACTTACACAATTGTTTTTAGTTTACGCCACTGTTTGAGACTTTGTGTTGCAGAATTGGCACATGCTCTAAGCAAGAGACCACATATCCGCCACTGTTCCAGTGTACTGCCCAATTTATCTCTGACATCACGTGCCACCTCCAATTGAGAATCTAAACTTTCCTCCAAACGGCTCATATAAGTACCGCCACTAATGAAAGCTGCAAGAAAGTAATTTTTAAATGATGAAAAAAAAACGAATATAGCAAGGCAGTGCATATTGGATACCTATTATTCCATCATGATTCACATATAGCTCATTCAGTTCGGCATAGCTTTCCATTAGGGTTTTCAGTCTAACCTTGGTGTGTTCCAAAATTTCCGCATAACAACGTAATGCCATCAGATGCATGGCGGACTCACTTAGTTGTGCAAAAAAATCTTCATGTGTGGAAGCCTTGTTTACATCAACAATTACACCTAAGTTTAATGCTAACTGCAAATAAATAAAAAAATGATATTCGGAAAAATCAAACCATCTTAAAAATCAATATCCATAAATATGTAACAACTATAAACTCTACATGGGCTGACGCTGTTGTGTATACATTTGTACCCATTTTAAGGTTAGATGCCTCATATGAAAGTTTAGTTCATCAGTGGATCTATTCCATCAAAGATATTGCCATAGTTGAAAATGTGGGGTTGGAAAATACCCCTTCCTTACACACGAAACCACAGTAATTGATGATGAAAATATATGTAAAGCCAAGGAAAATTTGGAAAACCCCAAATAACTCATGCTAATCTAAAGAATCGCCGCCATAAGTAGTGCTAACTTTGGTGAAGCAGGTGAATGGAAATATATATCTGGGATTAGTATATTTTCCGTTCGACGTGCTGGCACTTCATTGTTAAGTAGAAATGGGGAAATCCAGCAATTAATTCAGAAACTCCTTGGACAATTCGTACAAATAAAATAAAAATGGAAATTGCTGAATTGTTCCATGAAGGACCAAAAAATATACCAAAGATCGCCATCATGAACCCTATGAAGATCCTTATATCCAGAGGGTTTTTTTTTAATATTGCGAATTTCGTGTTTCTGTATTGTTTATTTATTCATGAATTTCTAAATTGCCGCCAGCTATTTCCCCCAAAAATGGCCATTGCTTTGACACTATTTATTTATGGCCGTTTGAAAATAAAGTTCGAAGGATCAAGTCAGCTTTGCTGTTTTCAAAAATTGTTTGCTCACATGCAAAAATACAGAAATCCGCGACATTTTTGTTTATAAAAATAATGGTGTAATCACCTTAACTGGTTTCATAATGCATTTAGTTTAGCTTTGTTTTTGTTTATGCGAAATATACAATTTGGACACAACACCGACGACTCCTTTGGGCGCTTGCATGTCGTATAATTAAATGTGATATTAAATGGGATAACAAAATAGGTGCAGTGTATAAAATAAATGTAATGATTCGAACATGTATTGATAAATGGTGGTACGTACCACAACAAAAACAACAAATGGGGAAAACTTAATTGAAGTTAGTGGTGTATATAAAAAGCGGCAATAGCAGTGACACGCTTGTTAGACCACGATGTTTGTAGCAATTAAGTGAACTGCCTACCACCACGTAAGGTGCATAGTGCACACCATACTATTTATACTCACAAAAGGTATGGTCATCCAGATCGCATGATTAATATTAGTCAGGTATCATTTAATATAAAGTAAACGCACGATGGTAACTTCCTTTTGTACGTTAATGCCTGCGTTTGTGTATGTGAAAAGGTTTGATTAGTTTAATTAGTGGTAATGCTCGTGGGTCAGTTTTTGCTTTCGATTTTACAAACATAAACTTTATTTAGATATAACATTTCAGAGACTGGGAATTAAATAAGGAAAAATGAAATTGACAGGCACCAGGCGAAGTTGCAGTAGTTTGGTCAAAATATTGCGATGTGGTATCAAAGGTAAAATCTTATCCAACTTAAAAGTTTTCCATATTTTGAAATTCTGTGTGGGAGATAACAGAAGGAGTAGTTAAGAGATTTTCTCATTTACAAAATGCTGACGCTTTGTGTGGGAGTTACTAGAAGGAGTGAATCTATAAGTACTATCTTAAATAGGGTTGTCATTATAGAGTTAATGAGACCTTCCCCATTCTCGATTTTAAATTTTCAAGATTTTCATTGGGCTGGTAAATGAATACCAATGCACGTTATGATTTGTAACTTTACACATATATAATTGAAGATTTAAAAAAGAAGAAAAATAATTTGCAAATTTTGGTTGTTGTTGTTTTTGGTGATTAAAGAAAAGTCTTTATATTTGATGGCGGGCATGATAACTTCACACTGGAACATCGGAATCCGGTAATTCCAAGGGTTTTAGAAAGATTACATGTCTGGCTCTTGTATGAACTAGGATTATTGACTTCGCTAAAAACAAAATGACGGACATTTGAAAAAAAAATTGGAAATTCGCCTATTTTTGACCACACACTAAGTTAAAAAATAAGGAAGTTCTTCGCTGATTGGCTTTATTAGTTTTTTAGTTATCGTTCCCGCCATTCGAGAAAAATGCATTTAAAGTTTGAGAATCACTCTTGCCGTTACCTGATGCTGACACAATAAATAGGCTATATCTTCTTGAGATTTTCACTTCAAATTTTGTAGGGACATTCTATAATAAGAGTAGATTCGAATTACATCAAACATTTTTTTACATCGAGAATGGGGGGTCCCCTTAAATGAAGTTTTTGCTAAATGTTGACCATTTTGTTTGGTTGGTTCCAGATGGTTTTGGGTGGATATTTTTTTTGGGAACGTCGGTCGCGTTTCTCTATCAAATTGACTATAATTTGATATTAATGGTCAATTTTTTTCAGTAAAAAGTATTGCCGGTTTTTGTGGAATTTCGGAGAATATATGGGGAATTACAAAAATGTTTTAAATTCCTTGAAACTGAGGTTTGCAAGCTTATAACTCGCGAAATATGAACATATTGCATACAATTTTAATTCATTTCTTTAAAATGACGTATTCTTTTTAAAATCTTAGAATGTTGGTAAGAAATGATAAGTTGCATGGAAGCTGTGATGGTGGTAATGTAAAAAAAATGGGAGAATATGTCAACAAGTTTTTTGTGTTCCTTCCTGATTTGCGGCTAAACGGCACAACGCACGTACATGTTATCAGTGACTAAATTGAAGAATACCCCATGAACAATATGCTTCTAATGTATGATTTTTGGATATAATCACTGCATGCACCCAAAACGGATGCTGACATTTTGAATCCGGATTTTCGGTGCTTTTTGATTTTTTCTTATAATCAGGACACACATCCAGATAAAGGACTAAACTGATTATAGGATTATAGAACTCGAGATTTTGCTTCGTTTAGTGTATATCACATGAATGTGCTCACCGTAGCTTCTTTGCATTTGGATTCCCAAGACGAAAATTTTATGCCTAAATTTATATAAAAAACCAATGCCGAAGAACCTCGCGTGATTTTAGTTTTTGTACGCCCAATAGAACGGCGGATATAGGTACCTTGAATGTAGGAAAAACTTAAAAACTTATTCTGACAAATTCGCTTATATAATAGCGTTTTTTTTCAAATTGCTTTTACATTCGGGAATCTGTGTGAAAATTGGTCAAAAATACATCTATACGCTAATAATATTTTCCAAAATTGATTGTGGCGGCACACCGGCGGTTCTAACCAATTCTTTTAAAATAGTTGTACTTTTGTGTATTTTCATAGGAGATTACTGAAATGTGATGCGCATAAAAATCATATACACGTTGAGTCATTTTTAGGGTTTTGCATAGTAAAATACATCGAGCGGCACACTTTGGCCGCTAAATGAAACCTCACAACATTTTTTATAGAATGATGTGTGCTAAGTTTCGTGAAAATCGGTTCAGATTTAGGTATAGCTCCCATATATATATATATATATATATATATTCGTCCGATTTAAGGAAAATGCGGTACCAAAATCCCTAAATATATTTCGATTTGCACAATATTTGGCATATCATACTGAATAAAGTCTACAATGATGTGTGTTAAGTTTCGTGAAAATCGGTTCAGATTTAGATATAGCTCCCATATATATTTTCGTCCGATTTTAGGTAAATGGTGCACCAGAGTCCCTATATATCTTTCGATTTGCACGAAATTTGGCACATCGTACTGAATAAGGTATAGAATGATGTGTGTTAAGTTTCCTGAAAATCGGTCCAGATTTAGATATAGCTCCAATATACATTTTTGTCCGATTTAATGTAAATGGTGCAGCAAATCCCCATATATCTTTCGTATTGAACTTAGTATAACCTATAAGTTAGATATAAATGCTGCTCCGATTTCCCCAGGTGGGTCCGATTGGCACAAAATTTTGCACAACTTATTGAAGTTATTATGAGATAACGTGTGGCAAGTGTTGTTGAAATTGGTTCAGATTTAGATATAGTTCCTATATATAGTTTCGTCAGATTTTAAGTAAAATGTAGGTTGCAGAAATATATGTTTATGGGTCCAATTTCATTTTACTGATCCTTCAAAAATGCGACGTCTTATAAGATTCATCTGTTGAATATACCCAAAGTGGTGAAGGGTATCATATAGTCGGCCCCGGCCGACTTTACTACTTTCCTTATGCCATGTACAGACGAGCGTTGTTCGCTCTCTCATTCGTTGTTCGACCCTTAAATAAGAAGTAATTACTTAGTTCCCCATACAAAATTGTCTGAGCGAACACCGACTTTTGTACGTTGTTCAATTCGAATCACTCTCTGAATCACCAAGAAATTTGTCCCATCCCTAACAACTGAGAGCATTTATCGAAAATAAATTAATTTTAACAGCTTGAAAATATTTATAAAATTTTCAAACTTTTTTAGTAATATTGAAAATGATGAATGAAAAGTAAAAAAAATGTCGAGTTTTTATATATGCAGCAGGATGTAAATTTTGTTATCTACATAATGCAATGTGAATTTCTTTCCCCACGGTTTTAATTAGCGTACAAAACAAGAAACAAATTTGGGGACACTCAAACAAAAAATTCTCCAGATTTTTATATGTGACATTTGAATTTAGGAAATATAAAAATGTATGAAAACAACAATATTTTAAGAAAAAATTGAAAACATGAATTAAAAGTAAATAGATATGGGTTCATACTATAGTCAGGAGAAAGAGAATTAATTTTTCTATTTAGATCCATATGTGATTCATGTAAATATGTTAGAATTTTGGCGTAAAACAAGAAACAAAAAGTTTGAAATAAAAAAACTCTGATGAAATGAATTAGGAATAGTGTTGTATGAACGGGTTAATTCATGTACGTAATTCTGAGAGCGAACTACGTTGTTCGAATGCCCGTCAGAACATGGCATTACTGTTTTTTTATAGAATTCAAATTGGGTAGCACTTTTTATGATATCTCCCATACAAGGGTATACCCCA